ACCCATATGATGGATTGGTAATTCACTATGTTTTCCTGTGCGTGCTTCAAACTATGTCTCCTTATTTCTAGGTTGAATCTCTCCTTGTTCAGTTTCCATCCATTATTCCTTATCTGGCCTTTAGGTGCCTTGGAGAATAGCTTGACCCCCTTCCTCCTCTCTGGGGAAGCCCCTCAAATATTGAAAGACTGCTCTCCTCTGGTCCTTCTCTAGACTAACCAGGCCCAGTTCCTGCAACCGTTCGCCGTATGTTTTAGCCTCCATCCTGGTTGCTCTTCTCTGCACTTTTTCTAGAGTCTCAACCTCTTTTTTTATACTGTGGTGACCAAAACTGGATGCAGGACTCTAGGTGTGGTCTTACTAAGGCTTTATAGAGTGGTATTAGTACCTCCCTTGATCTTGATTAGATCCCTCTGTTCATGCAAGTGGACAAGAAGACCTTCTAACTCTCTTATTCTGTATTCTCTTTGGGACTAACTCTGGTCACTCTTTATTTTTCTGCAGGACTTTTATAGGTGTCGTTATGAAGCTGAGAATTCTATCACGAAGTGTTCCACAACGGGGACCATCCTGGCAGGAGATGAAAAGGCCCTTCTGGAGGCGGTGGCCACGGTTGGCCCAATTGCTGTCGGAGTGGATGCTCGGAGCTTTGAGTTTCACTTTTACAAGTCGGGTAAGGTTTCTGCAGAATAGGAAGGGTGGGTGGCTCTGTTGCGGCCAGGCTGAGGAGCTGGCAGCAGAGTCAGACAGTGAGGAGGTTGGGACGGAACCTGGGCCGGGCCTGGAGGCTGAGGAAGGCTCGGACGACGGCTCTGTGCCAGAGGCAGAGATGGGGCCAGGGCAGTCTGGCAGTCATCAGCTGCCTTCGGGCTCAGACAGCAGTGAGGTGGCACTCTGTTAATCTGTTAAATGTTTACTTGTTCCTCTTTCTCTAGGTATCTTTAAAAATCCCTGGGTTGGAGACCCACGCATAACTCATGCCATGCTAGTGGTTGGTTATAACAGCACCGAGTATTGGATTTTGAAGAACAGGTGAGTGAAGGGAAGGGGACGCTGGCAGGAGCGGTCACGAGAGGGGAGCTTCTACTATTGCAGATTGTCCCAACCTTAGCTGCTTGAAGATGCATGGACTGCAACTCCCAGAATTCCCCAGTCGGCATGATTCCCTATGCCAGCACTCCCCAAACAATTCTAGCTCCATGGACCAGCAGCAGCAACGGGGGTGGAGTGGGTGGGGTGAATGGTTTCATATGCGCGGTCTAGTTCCCGCACATGCGCAAATGAACCTTTACCTATTCGCCCACCGCTTGTGCGGCCCAATTTCCACGGCAGGGGTAGGATTCAAAAATGTTTACTACCAGTTCTGCGGGCATTCCTTGGTCAGTGTGGCTTGGTGGGCATGCAGGGGAAGGATCCTGTGCAAAATCCCCCCCTTCCCTCCCCACCCCACTAACCTGCTTTCCAGCTCCGTTCTCCTGTGCAGAGCAACCAAAGGAGACCCAGCCAATCAGCTGGGACTCAATGGGAGGTAGAGAATAGATGGGGGCGGGGCCAGTCAGAGGCAGGATTTGCCGGTTTCCAAACTACTCAAAATTTCCACTATCAGTTCTCCAGAACTGGTCAGAACCCGCTGAATACCACCTCTGGGCCACAGATCGGTTCCAGTCCATGGCCTGGAGGTTGGGGACCCCTGACCTACACATTTTTGAAATGAATGTCTTGCATGCGTTTCTTCACAGTTGGTCTCATGTTTGGGGACAGGACGGATACATGCTCTTGGAACAAGGATCAAATCAATTAGGCATTGCCAACAAGGCTTGCTACCCCATTCCCTAACCAGCCAAGTGGACCATTCGAGAAGCGGGACGAAAAATTCCCCTGGGAATAATCTGCAGTTTCTGAAGCTTCTGGAGAACCAGAATATATACATACATACATACATACATACATACGCTAAAATCAATAAACGCTTTGACGCAATGCTTCCTATGATCCAATCTGGCACCTGACTGTTTTATGATGTGTCTGAGTTTGAATGCACACCACGGTATTACCAATGCTGGCACCTCTTCTCGTGGAATTCAGAATGTCTGAGACATCTAGTCTTTTAACAAGCACCTAAAAATGGAAAGATCTAACAATTCACTGTATGGGTTTAAAGGTATAAGGTAAAAGTAAAGGTTCCCCTCAGACATAACGCGCTAGTCATTTCCAGCTCTAGGGGGCAGTGCTCATCTCCGTTACAAAGCCGAAGAGCCAGCGCTGTCCAAAGACGTCTCTGTGGTCATGTGGCTGGCATGACTAAACGCCGAAGGTGCACGGAACACTGTTCCCTTCCCACCAAAGGGGTCCCTATTTTTCTACATGCGTTTTTATGTGCTTTCAAACTGCTCGGTTGGCAGAAGCTGGGACAAGTCATGGGAGCTCACTCCGTGACGTGGTGCTGGGGATTCAAACCGCCGATCTTTCTGATCGACAAGCTCAGTGTCTTAGCCACCAAGCCGCCGTGTCCATCTTTAAAGGTATAGAGCAGAAGTATGCCCAGCTAGGCAACTTTAAAACTTGTGGATTTCAACTCCTAGAATTCACCAGAGTCCACAGGTCTTAAACTTGCTACGGTTAGATATCCTTTGTGTAGAGGTTTTATACAAATCCAGTTTCAGATAACTTCTAACAAGCCAGCTGTTAAGAGCCTTCTGATTCTCATTTGTCATCTGCAAAAGCTACCTGTAACATACAAGTATCAACCTCTACGTCCAGATATCGTTTTCATCCTGTGTGATGGCATATGTGTCCCTGTGGCACATATCAGACAGGATAGGATTTGTAGAGCCCTTGATGGTTGGTTATTTTCTTGTGGACATTTCGTTACCCAACTGCAGTAAGTAACATCATCAGTGCTAGTCTGATTTGGATATGATTTCTAATTTCTCAACTCAAATAAGCCTATTGGTTTATGGAACACATTAGCTATAAGCTATTATAAACTACAGAAATTGAATTCAGCCAAGATGCTAAGCCAAAAGCATCCAACTTCTTCCAACTTCCAAGGATCTCTCTCTCTCTCTCTCCCCCCCTTCCTCCCTCCCTCCCCTCTGTGTGTGTGTGGGGGGGGGTGTTTGTGTGCATGCGTGTAAGAATATTTGATTTCATTTCAACTCTTACAGCTGCTATTCCCAAGAGTTTAAAGCTAATTTTTTCAAATCACATCTAAAATATGTTTTATTTCCAGTCAAGTTCTATTTTGTATCTGCTAGCTTCAATTCTTTGTAAGAAATTATAAAGAATTATACGTCGTCATGGGACTGAAAGGGAACACAGACCGCTGGGTGGGAAGTGATTAACATTTCCTTTGGGGAATCATACTGCTAATACTCCCTCTTTTTAAAAAGCCACAATGGTGGAGTCAATCTGCAGCGTAAAACCCAAATTAAAGGATGCATATAGGCCAGCTGTGCTAGTGTTAACACCCAGATAAGCAAGGATTCATACCAGACAAACAGTCCAGCAAAAAGAACAATGTCCTAATCAAGGCACTTCCAAAGAGAAAACTACAATCCTACCAATACTAGCAGGACATACTACTATATTTTAACCCCACGTTCACCAAGAGTGTAGAGTATTCACATATAGACTTCTAATACTACATTCCTATTGGTTAGTTAACACAGTGTAACGATTGGTTAAGAACAATGGGTTCCAATTGGCCACATAAGCGGTGGGAAGTTTAAACACATGCCATTGGTTGCGAGCCGCAAGCAGCTGCTATAAAAAGGGCTGCCGTGGCTCGACTTTAGTTGCAGTTACTGGTTGCTAATAAAGAGCTGATTTCAAGTCTGGTTTTCGAGTCTGCTTTGTCCTGGCGATAGAACAAATAGGGATGATGTTCCCTAGTTAGGTAACAAAATCTTTACTCAAGAAGTAAATGAGACTCCAACAAAGGAACTATCAACTGAGATGAAGAAGCTGACAGTAAACAACAGCCTAATTAATGAACTACCATGAAGAAAACAACACTCCCACCAACATTAACAGGGCAAGCACTTGTATATAAACAGCAATCTGCAATCTTCTTTCCAATAATGATAATGTTACCTAGTTGGGTTGTGAAATGTCTGCAACAATGCAACCAAGCTCAGAGAGCACCAAGGATCCCACAATCCAATTTTCAGCTAGAGTTACAACTATTTTCTTCTATTAACAGCCCAAAGAGGGACATTGAGAAGGAGTCAGATACCAGCTGTTCTGCCAATTGTTACTATTTAATTGGTATCCATTGTATATTGCTAGCTCCTCCTCTCCTTACCCCATGCCATATTTTAGTTAGGCCTAAGTACCGTGTTTCCCCAAAAATAAGACCTATCCAGAAAATAAGTCCTAACTTTATTTTTACACATGCGCACAATATAAGCCTTAGCCCCCCCTCAAAAAATAAGCCCTAATGAAGACCCTGCCCTCATTGCATGAGGTGGGGTGAGGCGCATGAATAAAAATTAAGTTAGGGTGGGGATGTTGTGGGGTGGAGCTGCCCCACATGCCCCACACCCACTTAGGACAGTTGCAGCAAAGCGTCCCCTGCCCCAACACCTGCCTCGCCTTGCCGGTCCACTTCTTCTGTGGCCACTTGCACACTTTGCCCCCGACCTCCATTTTACCATCCGAAGCCTTCAGGAAAGGCTTCTGCAGCTGAGAAACTAACTCCAGATATACGTGTGGCGCCTCCTGGCCTCTGTTTCACCATTAGAGGCCTTTGCCTCCGATGTCAAAATGGACGCTGGGAGGCACCATGCGCGAGCGGCAAGTGGCCGCAGTAAAAGTAGGCTGTCAATGCCCACACGGTTTCTTGCTAGATGGGGCTGTCAGTGTCACTGCCATGAGGTGAGACAGTGGAAGACTTCCGTCAAGAATAAGGCCCCTGGTTCTTCTTTTTGTTAGACAAGACATATCTGGTTCTTGTGGCTCTTGCTGGGCCTTCAGTGCCACTGGTGCTCTGGAAGGGCATGCATTTCAAGAAGACGGGGATGCTGGTCTCTCTGCGTGAACGAAATCTTATCGACTGTTCTGAGGAGAATGATGGATGCGAAAGTGGATTTATGCACCTAGCTTTTGACACTGTGCGGAAGGAAGGTGGGATCAATTCAGAGAAAAGCTACCCTTATGACAGACAGGTAATAAATGATCGGATTTGTGTATCTCCTGGTTCATTCCTTCTTCATGCTTCAAGCTGAACTGTTCTGCTCTATGTCTCTAGCTGATAACACCTCCAGCAATAGGATGGGAAAGGCTTGAGTCCTGGGTAGAGACAATTACTATTAAAGCCCATCAACTGCAACATTTTCTTAGGATCACTGTTTCCTTCTGCAGAAAGGGAAAGGTTGTCACTATAATCCTGAGGAATCTATTACCAGATGTAACTCAAACGGACAGATCATGGAGGGGAATGAAAAAGGACCAGGAGGTTGCAGCCAAGATTGGTCCAGTTTCTGTTGGAATTGATGTTCGGAGTAGCAAGTTCCGCTTCTGTAAGTCAGGTAAGATTCCTGAGGGCTCTCACAGTTGAATTGAACCACACTTGTGGTTCTTGCTATCTCCTCTGCCAACTGATACGCAACACTGATGAGGCCAGACTCCACCTAAGTATTAAGGGGTTATGTTGTTGTTGTTGTTGTTTTCAAGATGAGGAGAACAAGGAGAGCTTTTAGTTTATTTCAGGTCAGCCTATGGAGCCTTTTCTTTTAGATTTGCGGATTTGTTTTGAAGACTTTGCTTTGATAGGTTAACATGGTGGCACGGCGCATGGAATGCAGGCTAACTCTACCGACTGCCAGCAGTTTGATTCTCACCAGGCTCAAGGTTGTCTCAGCCTTCCATTCTTTTTTTTTAAAAAAAAACAAAGTTTTTATTTTTTACAACAAGCATACAAACAAAACATAAAACCCTCTTTCAATTATATACATACAGTGTGTCAGTTGGTTACAATCTTTTGTGCTATCCTTTTTTTTACCATTACTCACAAGTTATATAAATTCTCAACTTATCAATCTAGCTTGTGCTTATGTAATATCAATTATTAAACATTTATTTGACTAAATTATTTTTCCATCATTTTATATGAGATATTCTAATTTTCATTATGATTTAATTTTATACATTCATCCAATGGTTATATATTTTATATTGTATTTATGTCAATCTATTAACTTTTATCTATTAACGGCTTCGTCCGATGGTGGTTTGTAGTCAGTACGACCAGGGGCCTGTTACCGGGTTATCAGTGCCGGTAGCCAGAGTGGGTCCCCCGTGAAGTTTTTCGTGTAGACGGTGTACCGATGTTAAATGTCCGGTGTCTACTGGACGAGCCTGGGGGTTTCTCCGGGTTGTACATGGGGTGCAACCGGTCTAATGAGGACCTTAGTTTTCTGCCCATGAGTAGTTCTGCTGGGCTTTTATTTGTAGTTGTGTTGGGTGTGGTGTGTTGTATGAACAGCATTCTATTTATTTTTTTTTGTATGTCACCGATTTCTATTTTTGGGATGGGTTTTTTTGTGAACTGAATCATTCTCTCCGCCCACCCATTCGCCGCCGGATGAGCGGGCGAGGTTAAGGAATGCCTTATACCTCATTCGGCTAAGTATTTTTCAAATGCTAGTGCTGTGAACTGAGGTCCGTTGTCCGACACTAGCACATCTGGTAACCCGTGTGTGGTGAAAAATTTATTCAGTTTTCCTATGACGGCTTCTGTTGTTGTGGTTTTCATTGTGCTTACTTCCAGCCAGTTGGAGTAAGCGTCTACAGTGACCAGGAATGTGTGCCCCTTGGTGGGCCTGGCGAAATCTATGTGGATTCGCGACCAGGGGCCTCTAGGGGCTTCCCATTCCAAGATTGGTGTGGCGGGGGGATGGATCGCGTTTCCTGGCACCTTTGGCATGTGGCTACCCATGTCTCGATCTGTTTGTTCATCCCTGGCCACCAAGCATAACTTCTGGCCAGGGCTTTGATCTTGATGATGCCCGGGTGCCCCTCATGCAACATGCCTAGTACCCTTTTTTGTAAAGTCTCTAGTATCACCACCCGGTCTCCCCAAAGTATACACCTCTTCTGTGAGAAAAGTTCGGTTTGCCGGTTTCTGAAGGCTTTGAAGTGTTTGTTGCCGTCGCTTTCTGGACACCCTCTCTCCACCCAGCTCAAGACTTGTGCCAGCCGCTTGTCTTTATTTGTTTCTTGGGCAATGTCTGGCACGGTCAGGAGTGGGTTGGTTAGAGTCTCTATTTGCTGGGTTGTTGTGGGTGCTGGGTTGTCCTCCAGGTTTGGTAGGGGGGATCAGCTCAGTGCATCTGCGTGCGAAATGTCCTTGCCGGGCCACTGTGTCAGCCGGTAGCTGTAGGCAGCAAGGAACTTGGATCACCTCATCATCCTGGGTGACAGGATGTTCGGGGTGGCCTTGTCCCCTGCCAGTATCCCTAGTAGAGGTTTGTGATCTGTAATGATTGAAAAGGTCTTACCGTAGAAATACTCGTGGAACCTTTTCACCCTGGAGATGACTGCTAGGGCTTCCTTGTCCAGCTGGCTGTAATTCCTCTCCGGCTTGGACAGCGTTCTCGAGAAGAAGGCGATGGGTGCTTCTTTCCCATCCGGTAACGTGCGGCTGAGGATCGCCCAAACGCCAAAGGGTGACGTGTCGCATGTTACCATCAGCAGCAGAGTCTCGCTATACTGGATGAGGACTGCGTCTGACGTTAGTAGGTTTTTGGTCTGTGTTTTCCTCCCCTTCCCCCAGGTCCAGCCGGCTGTTTTATCCAACGGCCTATGCAAAGGTTCTGCCAAAGTCACCTTTTGGGGTAGGAAAACATTATAAAAGTTAATAAGTCCCCAAAACGCCTGCAGTTCCGCCTTATTCTTTGGTGTGGGGGCTTCCTTGATGACTCTGAGTTTTTTTTCGGTGGGGTGGATTCCGTGTCGGTCTAGGAGATACCCCAAGAATTTGACCCTCTCAGTGCAGAGTTGGCATTTCCCTTTTTAAACTTTAAGGCCCGAGTCTTTGAATTTCTGCAGTACCGCCCTTAGGTGGTTTTCCAATTGTTCTTTGTTGGCGGCTGCCACCAGCACGTATCAAAGTAGGGCACCACTCCTTTTATTCCCTGGAGGAGTCTTTCCATGAGGCTCTGGAAGACTCCTGGCGTGACGCTGACTCCGAATTGGAGTTGGTTGCATCGGAAGGCCCCCTGGTGTGTTACAATCGTTTGTGCCTCGGCGGTTTCGGCATCAACCGGCAGTTGCTGGTAGGCTTGAGCCAGGTCAAGCTTCAAAAAGACCCAGCCTCCTCCCAGTGAGTGCAGGAGGTGCTGTACCACTGGGACGGGATAGGCACTTTGCTGCAGGGCATGGTTGAGGGTAGCCTTATAGTCACTACAGATTCTTATGGAGCCATCCAGTTTAATGGGGGTGACTTTGGGTGTTTCCCAGTGGGCATGGTCAACTGGCTCTAAGATCCCTTGCGCGATGAGCTTGTCTAGCTGCTCATCGATTTTGGGCTTGAGCGCAAAAGGCACTCGTTGCAGTTTAAGGCAGATTGGGGCAACGTTTAGGTTGAGGTTGAAGGAGATTGGGGACCCCCGGTACTTGCCTAGGGTGTCGTCGAAGACCTCCTGGAAGTCCCTCACGAGCACCGCTTCCCAGTCCGCCTCATTAGTGTGGTGAATGCCCGTCACCTCGATTCCCAGTGGGGAGAACCATTGCAGTTCGAGCAGGCTGGGACAGTCTTTGTCCACGATCGTGAGTGGCAGTACTGCGGTGTGGCCTTTGAAGGTGATTTTAAAATGTCCGATGCTGACTACAGGGATGCGGTTTCCCTGATAGTCCTTCAGGGCCAGCTTCTGGCCGTCCAGTTCACGGTGGTGGATGGTAGGCACCAGGCATTTGATTGTGCTCCAGGAAACCATGGAGAGGTAGGATCCGGAGTCCACCTCCATTTCGCATGTTTGGCCCTCAATGCCTACTTCCACGTGTACCTTCCGGGCGTCGATGGTTGAGGAATGGCTGATGATGACCGTCTGGTGGGTTTCCTCTCTTCGTTGCGCCTTGCTGAGTCGTTTGTTCTGGCCGTTGCGGCTCCATCGGCTCTTGGCTTGATGGTCTCGGTTCTGGGGGGGTTGCCATCTCATTGCCGGGGGCTGCTGCCTCGTCGTTGGGGGCTGTAGTTCCGCTTGTTCCTGCATACTTTGGCGATGTGCCCCCACTTCTCACAATGCCAGCAGATGGCATCGAGAAAACAGCATTCGGAGCAGAGGTGATCGCCACTGCAACCAGCACAATGGAACCCCGATTTACGTCCCCTCCGGTCCTGCCGATCACGTCCCGCCTGGAGCCAGTGGATCTCTTCTTTTTCTTCGTCGTTGTCGGAGTGGAAATTGTTGGGTATATGAATACACCAACTGGTTTGGGTGAATGAATATATAAAACCTAGGTTTAAGCGTTTGCAACTTTAAGCTCCAAACTGCAATGTCATTGCATAATTATGGGTGCAGTTGCAGGCTGCAATAATAGGCAGTGAGAGAGACGTAACACTTCCTG